GTCGCAAGAGGAGGTAGGTGAGAGAATCGGAACTGCCGTGGAAGGAGGTGGAGGGAGAGGTGGGAAGGAACGTTGAAAGTGTGGGTCGACTTGTCCTGTATGAAGCAGGTAGAAGCTGTGAAGGTTGGCTAGAATGTCGGTTGCTTGTTGAAGGAGGCGATGGAGCTGTGTAAGCGCAATGGTAGTACGATGGAGCAATCGAGCTTGGTCCGCGCTGTGATGCATCTTGAGTGAAAGCTTCAATGATCAATCTGCTAGGACGGCAGCTTGGCAGCGCAGCGCAGGCGGCATCACTTCATGAGCGGAGGGTGCATGCGGACGGGCCGTGCAGTTGAATTATCAGAACGAATTATCGAGCACGAATTTCGCAGCGCGAACAAGGTCAAAGAAAAGAAAGGCAGTAGGAAGCAAAATCGTTCACACAATCACAAAACCTCAAAACTTCAAAGTCACTAAAACTTCCGCATGTGGTAAAACCGAAGCATAAACACTGGAAAATCACAATCCCTCAAACCAATCGGAGAAAGCAAACTGTCGAGGGTGTATTAGTCAAAATCACAAAAGTCAACTACATGATCGGACTCACAATGGAAGTTGCGAAAAACTGTGGAAAAACCAAGCGTGCGCACACAGCCGATGAAAACGAATGCTCAATGCTCCTGTTTTGGCGGAGCCAGAGGTTTGTGGTAGGGTGTGAAACTAATCAGAAAAGCTCTCAATGAAGGCGGGTTGGTGATGGTGGCGCAGTGGATGTTGGGTGGTGGAAGTGGCTCACGTGTCTGGTGGTGTTGAGTTGATGGACCATGCCAGGCCCTTGATGATAGCGTTATTGGGGTGGATGACCCAGCAGCGCGCTTTGGCGTGACAGGCTGCGTCATGTTGTTGCTGTAAAAGCTCTTCGCCACCACTGGGCGTTTTTTGGGAGTTTCCATGTGTTGTGTAGTATACGGGCTTGTTCGTAGTTGTCATGGAGTGGCTGGTGAGTAATGCGTATGCCTTGGGCAAAGAAACCCGGGTTGTCGGCAAAGTGGAGTGTACTGGGCAAGAGACGGCCCTGCCGCAGAATGGTGGTGATGTTGCCTAGGGGGCCGGTATGGCCGGCGTTGATGTGGACCATTTCAGGGGTGGTGGAGGTGGCGCGGGTGGCAGGCGGTGGAATCTGACGAGTGGCTTTCTCGACCAGACTAGGGATGTTGATGCAGTGGTATGGAAAAATGTCATATGCATTGGTGGTGTCGTTCCATTTGATATGTGTGAGTTGGCGGAAGTCTGACAAATCGTTGTAGGTAAATCCGCTGTCAACAAGGAGTTGGGCAACGTAGGCATGTTGAGGTTTATTTTCCGCTGCCAGTTGTTCGGCGTGGAAATCGAGCCAATGTTCGATCTGCTGTTGCTATGAGAGTTGGAGGAAGTGAGGTGAAGGTGGCCGCCACGGTGGAGATGGGCGGCGAAGTGCTGGAATGTTGGGGAATTCAGCTTGGGACATGTTTGTGATTTGGCTGCGGAGCGGATCATGCCGCGCTGTCTCCTGGTTGGGCCGCAAGGTAATAGGCGCATGGGAGCGGCTGCGTGAACGGCTGTGGGAAATTGTGGAGTATGTGGAGGAGGGAGAACGGCGGCGCCTGTAGCTGACGCAGGATTGTGTGGTGGTGGCGGGTGTGTGGCTGTGATCCTGCTGTCGGCTGTGGTGCCTGCTGAGCATGTGGAAACAGTGCTGCTGGTGGCGATGGTGGTGGAGGTTGCGATGATGGTGAATGGGAAGTGTTGGATGGAGGTTGTATTGGTATTGGTTCCATTGCTGGCATCTGATGTGACACAGGGTAGGCGTGATGAGGTGGCATGAAAGCCGGTGTAGGTTGGACGTGTGGTTGTAGAGGGTGTGGCCCACGTAGGGGGCCGGCAGGTGTGGTGAAGTGGCCGGACAGTGTGACAAGAAAGTAGGTGGAAGCTGGTGGAACGGAGCTGGCTGTAGAGGTGCTGTTGATGGGTGGTGCTGCCACGGTGGTGAATGAAGACCAGCTGTCGGCGCCGTGGGCACAGGACAGTGAGTTGGCCACTGCGGGTACGGCCAAGGATACTGCGTGTGAGTGGTCAATCCGACAAAGTTGGAGGCTGCACTAGATGGCGCCGGCGCGGCGCAGCAGCTAAGAATTAAAAGGTTGAAAAGTTGAACGCTGAGACTGATGCTTGAGATCTAGTGAACAGTCAGTGATGGAGAGGTGAGGTGAACGTGTGGCGTGAGATGCAATGCAAAGTCTCGAAATACGTGTGGAAGTTGAACAAATGGCTGCGGATTAAAAATTGGGAACATGCAGTAACGACACATGACGGTGCAAGTGGATTCAGTCTGTCAGAAAGGAATTCCATCGTTTATAGCCCGGCGGCTCGAAACTCCGTTAATTCAGTTATGGAAGTGAGAAACAAAAAAATCAGTTATAAGAAAGAAAAACCGATGCTTTCCGGAATGATAACAGCGCCTCCTTTCGGAGGGTCACACCCAGCGCCCAAGTGGGACGACTGAGCGGTTCACACTCTGACATTGGTTTTCGGTTAACTCAATTGCCACAATGAGAAGGATGGCGACGGAACAGTAGGGTGAAAGGTCCAAGAAACTGTAGGTGTTTTAACAAAGGCTGTTTCCCTTGACTGCAGAACTCAGCGGTGGTGAACGAACGGCGCAACTCAGCTGCAAATCCGAGGTTTGGGGGTGGAAACATGAAGAACCATGAAACAAACCGTGGAGAAGTAGGGTGACAGCTTGTGGACAACTCAGCAGGTACACACCGAGACGTCTCTCAGTGCTTCCCCTCCAGCGACTTAGCTTCGTTGGACAAGGTTCATCGCTGGAGGCCTTGCCCCCCTGCTTATATGAATCGCTGGGAAAATCCGTTGCAAAACCCTTAGAAACAGGGTGTGACACACACACACACAGGATCTTTCCAGTGTTGAGTGTGAAGTCCAACAAGTGCTAGGAAACTCCTCCTCAAGTTGATGAATGATGTGGAGGCACTGCGGCCAGCCATGCTTGGAGTTCATGCAACAGCAAGAAAGGATGACATTGTGGCGCTGGAGAATAACAGGCAGATTAAGAGGTCAATCGCATGCTTGCTTGGGCCAGGTGCAGGTGGTGGGCAGCGCGGTCATGGCTTTTCGTCAGATCTGCATCGTGTTACCAAAGGCTTGCCAAGAGACGCCTTTGACATGTGCTTGAAGCTTGTTTCTTTCGCTAATTGCAAATCAATTGCACCGTTTGAGATGATGCCACCAGTTAGTAAAGGGAGACTTGAAGCAACTGGTGCAGTTAAGGAATGTGCGTTGACCACAAGCTGCTGTGAACCTTTCAAACCTATCATCTTGATCCAGGATGCAGCTGAAGATGCCAAGCCAGGCTGAAGATAAACGATCTCATCTCACCGTGAACGCTGTTGCGGCACTGTTGCGTTCATGAGATTCATGTCGTTTGGGAATTAAGACCAGAATGTGTTGCTGAGTATTACTGTAGTGTTTTGGTCGGAAGTTTGGATGAATGGTCGGTTTTTTCAAAGTTCTTTCCGTCGTGAATACTTGAGTTGATCTCTTCAGTCAGAGGCGGCTGTGCAGACCCTGTTTGGCATGAACTGCTCTCAGCTGTATTGTGACTACAGGGTTTGATCATGAATGAATTTATGTTTGTGACTCTTCTGGCATTTGTGCGGCGATAGATGGGTCTTTGGAAGATCCTTGAGCACAGCGCAGAGAGCTTCAACGTATCCTGGTGCCCGCCAAGGCTAAACAATTAGAGCTCCTCCATCCACTCTTCAAGCGTTTTGTGCAGGTGAGAATCCAGCAAGAGCTAAGACATGCTGAGCATCCATGTATACTAGGATACTTGGTTGGCTCACAGTTCACCCTGAACCAGGACATGTTGCTCATGGATTTCTGGGCGTCATTCAGCTCAGAAAGGGTTTGTCCGCACTTTCAGTGTTGGTTCAAGTCCGGACTCCAAACGCTCCTTGGGCCCTGGAGATGCCTAATTGATGCCCACATTCTACGTATCGTATATATAATTGTATATATAATATATATTACATACATACAGTGAATATTACAATTACATATTATTACTATTATATACTATTATACTATTATGCAGCAGTTCAGTCTGATGCGGGGCAATGTGTCGGCTCCAAGTTGTGAGCAAGCGCTCCAAGGCAGCAATGCTGCATTGACCTTCTCATGAGGTGCCGGGGGATATGTTTGAGAAAAAGCACCACACATTGCTTTTACAACTAGCACAGCATTTTTCGGCTTTCAGGGTCAGATAGGTGACATCCTTGCAGTCTTTGTGGAGAGAAACAACAAGTGTCAGCGCTATCCCGGATGAGCGTGTTGTGGCAAGGGCGCGAACCAGGAACCACGTGGAACCCCTTTATCCACAGCATCCAAAGGGAATGTTTGCTTCGACTCAAGCACGTCCTTTCGTCTTCGATCTTTTCCTCACAGACTCCTAACTTCCAAGACATGTTCCAGACAGTTAGCAGTTAGCTTTGAACAAAGCATTTGGAACAGCGGTCGAAATGGGAGGTTCAAGGTGTTCAGCTGGAAGGTACTGCCGCTTGTTCTTTGCAAGCCCCGGCAAGACAGAGGACCTACCACTATCATTCTGCTCATGACATGTGCGTGTGTGACTCATTGTTGGTTTGAAAGGGCAGGGTGGAGTGGTGGATATGACACGGCCCAACGTTGACGTTTGTAGAGGAAAACGCCGAAGCCAAAGGCAAGGAGCTTGTGCACATCGTGTGTCGTGTCAAACTATGTAGCTAGGCTATGCATACATCTTCGAGCCAGTCGGCCAGTGGCAGAGCCATCGACATTTTAGGTTTTACTTCAGATTACTTCTGCAGTACAACTGAGGGGGGAGCGCTGTTTTGGCTCCAGCACCAATCAGAAAAATGAAGCTCACATATGCGGCATGTGCGGACTAGTCTTCAAAGCATGTTTGTTGACTTGAAAGCTTCCCTGACGAATCTAGCTGGTACATCGGAGATTTCTTTCCAAGCCTTCGGGGCATGTACGAAGCTGTGCATCAAGCACAAGCACAGTCCAAGTCCTTCTTGGGGAAGTGGAGTGACTTGGATGGCAGAGTGGTGACTTGGATGACACTGTGTGTCATAGCTTGCACTCCAAGTACCATAGCTTGGCCAAAGTGCCGACCAATTGTTCCACATTGTGCTGACAAATGCTTCCACGCTCCACTGTTCTGGGCAGAGTTCGATCTTTGCTAGCCAACTTAGACTTAGGCTATGCTGTTCCATTTGTATTCTTTGTGGGGTTCGTCATCATCGAGGCTGGCGAAACAGTTGAAACTGGCTTTGGAGTTTCAAGTTTCTTTCGATACTGTTTTGATCTGTCTTGCTATCGACTCGGCTACCACATACGGTTCCTGAATCGTTCCATGGTAGGTTGTGGTTCTGAAACTCTCTGGTCACTGGGTCGCTTGCCTGCAAGACTTCAGCTTCATTGAACTTCTAGAGTATATAGTATATAGGGAATAAGTATTAGGACGCTACTAGGTGGAGGCCATCGCAAGTAGGTTGGAGGCCATCGCCACTAGTGGCAAGAAGCTAGTGATAAGAAGAGCAGATGGCCTCCAACCTACTTGCCATGACCTCCACCTAATAGTGTCCTACTACACGTCGACGGTATTTCAGACATGATTCCGACATGACGGCGCGGGAAACTGGTCTTGGAGTGTGGCTGGCGTTGCTGCTGTCATGGCATGTCCCAAGCTGTTGTACCAGAGGGAACTTTGGGAGGGAGCTTAAATATGCTAGTGCAGTCGTAGACATGGCCCTCAAGGCTTCATTCACAAGACTGGTTCACAAACCTTTGAGGGGAATGACTACGTCACATCGTCACATATCCACACATGTCCTGGCCCACCATGACCCACCCCAGGACGCTGTGGCAGCAGAGCTTGTGGTTTGCCTCGCCGGACTTCTCGCGCCACTCAGATTAACTCAGATTCGGGCGTTCTTTTAGTCGACGTAAAAACTCGCTGTTTCTACAAACTCCATCCTTGACGTTCAAGACAACCACCGACCAGAAGGAAGGGCATGGAAGGGCAATTTGGGCAAGTGGAGTTTGTTTGTTTGGATTTGCTATTCATTCGTTCAAGCGCCGCATGCCATGCCGAGGCTGATTTTCATTTTTGGCGCATTCTTCTTGGCCCTCTTTAACAGGCTGGTCTTGCTCTTCATGTAAGAAAAGATGTTAATCGTACGTAGCTCACCAGGTTGGAAAACCTTTTCCGTGACCTGACCCTGATGCACCTATGGACTCGTGAGAGTGAGGCACACGAGCCTCGGAATCAGAGGATGAAAGGCATTGAACGGCCATGCGGAAGTTGGGAAAAGTGTTAAAAACCTGCCTCGCCAAGAACAAGGGCCTCCCGACCGGAAAAGTTTACTTTTTCTCGCATCGATGACCTCAGCGACCTGGGCGGGCCTTGATTAGTAATCCCTATGGTTCCTCATGCCATCGCATGCCCTGGCGCGGGCCAGCGCATTTGGAGTGTCAGGACAGATCATGCATGTCGGGTCGCGCCAGGATCCAAGCCCCAAGCCCCAGTGAATTTGGCCTTGATTCCAGTTGCGTTCCGAAAGCTGTTGGGCCCCGACTTAAGCCAGCTGCCTGGTGCTGCCTGCTTGATTCAGGATGTGGAGAACAAACATTTTCAAATATCGTTGCAGCTCCAGAATCGATCAGAGATCACTGAGCGCATGACGTGCACTCAGCTGATGAACATGCAGCTTAACACGTAGAGCACAATGTGGCCAAGCAAAATGAGCTCAAGTTGGTAATGTCAAAGCGTCAAAGAACATCCTGGCAGCAATGAGGAAACATTACTACCCGCTGGCCCTTGTGATTTTGCTCATTGCCATTGAGGTTGTGCCTTGTCTTGGATACCAGTAAGGAGAGTAGCTGAGTGGCTGCACGTTCCAGCTCAAGAAAGCATAAGAAAGCACTGAACCGAGTGATAGTGCGTTCTGCAGCTCATTCCCAACTACGCAGACACTGGCCGTGTCGTCTTGCCAACGCTGTCGCTGATGAGGTTTTTCTGGAAGCGAATGGATACATGCATTTAGTTAGGGCGGCCAGCTCAGATGGAGCGTTTTCCACTGATGTGGTAGCGCAAGTTTTGACATTGACATTTCAACATAGCATTTCTTGGACAAGTTCCCTTCCAAATCTTCCAAGCCCTTGGTCAAAGACATTTGCTCACCCTTGTTCAGCCGCCAAGCGGCTCTTTTTGCTAAGTTGCTATAAGTTGCTTTTCAATGCTTCTCAAGTTGCTTCTCATAGCGTTTCATGCCTCTATTCCGTTGAGTTTCCCATTCTATTGGCCTTTTGTTGAAAGGACGCATGCCAGGCATTTGCTCTCTTGCTAGTCGCAATGGATCGCATCAGAGCGAGACTGTTTCGAGGAGAAGCTCGCAAAGTATGCTTTTTTTTGGTGCCACCTTCTTGGTGTGGTTCTTAGCTTGGCGGGTCTATATACTTGATTGTTCCTGGTGATTCGCCATCGACGTGCTTCTTGAGGCCTTCTCGACGTGCTTATTTTTCGCCGCATTCATGCGGATTGAGGGCCTTTGGGATGACTTACGTGAGATTGGAGAGCAGAACCTTCGAAGCAAGAGATTGGAGTTTTCTCGAAGTTGTTGGAGTCTTTTCTGGTGTGTTACTTGATGTTATTTGAAGTTATTTGTAGTTTTTCTATTTTTCTATGGCAACAGCCAGAGATATTCGCTTTTGATCCAAATGCACGCTGCCGCTGTTGGTCCATGTTGGTCCGCAACAAGCTTTCTTCGACCCCTTCGTGTGGCACTCCACTCCGTTCAATGCCGAGGAGTCTGAAGGAAGTCGAGCAGCTGGTAGCCAAAATGCAGAAGAAGTTGAAGGACGAAGCTGGAATTGAATTACATATTGACTTGCAATTAGTAGGTTGATTCTTCTTCCTTTCTTTCAGAAATACTTGAAGGCTTGGAAACTGTTAAAGTGATTGGAAGTGGAGTCCAAAGACACTCCCTATGAACACGCGGCATGGTCACCGGACTCCGGACCCCTCAGCATGCAATGAAGTTGGCAACCACGTATTGTGCTTTTGCATGCATATCCAGAAGATAAAGAGGGCATTATATATTTAGAGAGATGCATGTCTGCAAGTTTGTGCAGTCTTTGGTTCAGCTGTTCTCCGCCCGAGTTACTTAAACACCTGGTTATCCCCTGAACAGTCATTTGCAGTTCTTCTCGATATGTGTGGATGAATCCTGTTTGTTGGCTTCAGACCACGTTTGCCTCGTTTGCAGGCCAATCTTGCAGAATGCAAAAAGGGATGCCGCGAATCCGCCTGTTTCTGACGGCGGCCTCCGCGCAATCCGGTGCTTCGAAGATCGGAGCAGCCCACGAGATGGCAGCCATTTGAGCACTACCTCATGAGCTCTTGGGCTTTGTTGGTTTCATCATAGTTTCATCCATAATTGGCCAAGGCAAAGGTTCCTTAGCCGCAAATAAGCCAGCCCAAGATATGCATGTGGCCATACAAGAGCCAGCCCCTCGCCGAAAAGGTCAGTGAGTTCTGGGGCTGCGGACTTCAGACATCACCGGGCTAGCCAGATGTGTGCGATATGGTAAGCTGATGTGTCGAGTGTGCAGTGGCAATCATGTACTTGAGAACCGTGTAGCAGTTTATGTTTTTACTCGGTACCGGCCTGCACAAGATCAGAGATTTCCTCACGGTTTGAGAGCAAGACCCCACTCAAAAGCTCACAACTAGACCACTAGCGGGGGGTGTAGATCAATATGGTCCGTTCCAAGTAGACAATATCAGTAACATCAGGGTAGGATGTTCATTTTAGACAATTGTGATGCTTCCACTCGCCTCTCTAGCGGAAGGTGCCGAGCCATCCGAGGACGACATCGATACGGCAGGGTTGGCCGGCGGTAGAAAAAGTGGTGGTTGGCTCCACAAAGAGGGGAGAAAAAGGTATGGAACATGATTGAAAAGGTGCAGGACATGAAGTTTCAGCACATCCATTCATTATAGAATCAGTTGAACGATGTTGAACCTGTCGAGCCTGTCATGTAGCGAGAGATGCATGTATTTTTCAATTTGGGCAGGACTTTCTTGCCTTCTTAAAGAATCTGAAGTTGTTGCTCTTCTCAGCCAGCAAAGGTGGGCGATGGATCCTGATGTGTCTGATGTATCCTGATGTGGCTGTGGGTCAAACCATTAACCCCCCAAAATCATGGACACCCGCTCCCCAAAGTCTGCGAAAGCAAAGGTGCACGTTGCATCTTGGGCAGGACGACCTGCCTCAGCAACTACGATTCAGAAACCAAAAGAGCCGATCCAGAAACCAAAACAGCCGATTCAGAAACCAAAACGGCCGATTCAGAAACCAAGTTAGACTGTTCAGAAACTAAGCCAGACGATGGTTGGAATGGGGGGTGGGGGGGGGGAGGAACTATTGCCAAGATAATAGCGTTCCATGTGGATGTAAAGGGCTTTTTACATTCAGTCAAGTAAGAAGTAGTGGTGGACGGCAGGAGGAGTGTGGGGTGGGGGGGTGGGGGGGGAACCATGGCCAAGATAATAACGTCCCATGTGGATACAAATGGATTTTACACTCATTCATATATGAATTAACTTGGGCCAACAGCATCTGGCTGAACAGAGTGGCAGGTAGGAGCAGTGTGGGGTGGTGGGGGGTGGGGGGGATCATGGCCAAGATAATAACGTTCCATGTGGATGCAAAGGGCCTTTACGTTTATTCAAGTAAGAATTAGTTTGTCAACTTCATATATGGTTGAACAGAGTGGAGGGTAAGAGGAGTGTGGGGTGGGGGGAATCATGGCCAAAATAATAACGCTCCATGTTGATGCAAAGGGCCTTTACATTCATTCAAGTAAGAATTAGTTAGTCAACTTCATATGGCTGAACAGAGTGGAGGGTAGGAGGAGTGTGGGGTGGGGGGGGAATGATGGCCAAGATAAAAACATTCCATGTGACATTCATTCAAGTAAGAATTACTGGGGGGCAGGGGGGGGGGGTGGGGGGGGGGGGGGGGGGGGGGGAATCATGGCCAAGAATAACGTTTCTTCTGTTGCTTCGCGGAGAGATTTTGCATCGGTGGCACCACCACCACCAACTACTACTACTACTACTACCACTACCACTACCACTACTACTACTACTACTACTACCACTACCACTACCACTACCACCACCACCACCACCACCACCACCACGACCACTACCACTACCACTACCACTACCACTACCACTACGACGACGACGACGACTACTACTACGACTACGACTACGACGACTACTACTACTACTACTACTACTACTATATACTACTACAATATACTACTACTATATACTACTACTATATACTACTACTATTTACCACTACTATATACTACTACTACCACTACTACTACTACTACTACTACTACCACTACCACTACTACTACTACTACC